ACAAGTCAATCTATTGAACCATTTTCACAGATTTTAATGTACGAGTCCCTAAATGATTTCTCATGGACCAAATTTAGTATTACAGCCTTCATCATTTCACCATGTAAGCAAACAGCATTAATGACATTTGGCATATTACAATAACCTGTATATCACTATCTGCAGGTATTAATCATGGACCTGTGATAGCTGGGGTGATTGGAGCTCAGAAGCCCCAATATGACATCTGGGGCAACTCAGTGAATGTAGCAAGCAGAATGGACAGCACAGGAGTGCTGGGAAAAATACAGGTAAGAGGGTTTATAATAAGAGTTTATTATTTTTATTATTAACTGTGCAGAACCATTGTTTGCTTCTTTATTGGTTTTTAATCTTTTTAATTGCCTCAAATCCTTTTACTAGATGTTTGATTACAGTTAAAGTAACTCTGTGTGTAAAACCAGTGGGATTAGGAGAATGCTCATGCTTTGAACAACATGTAGTGCGATGACTCATTAACCCATTTAATTCCTTTGTGTGTGTGTGTGTGTGTGTGTGGCTGTGCAGGTTACAGAAGAGACGAGTCGTATCTTGCAGACATTAGGCTACATGTGCACATGCAGAGGAATTATAAACGTGAAAGGGAAAGGAGAGCTCAAAACATACTTCGTCCACACTGAGATGAGCCGGTCTTTATCCCAGGGGAATGTAATGCCATGAAGCATAGCAACAAACATGCAATGAACTGCAGACATCTACAAACGGGAATACAAGGGACATTTGTAAATAATTGCTCCTAGTCTTTAGATGCACGAAGTATTGGATGTATTGAAAGTGATACCATTTCTACTGTATCTCATAGGCAGGTTTTGTGCACAGGGTACTACTGTAAGTATGGTAGCAAATTATTTTGTAAGAAAATCAAATATAACAAAAAGTGTTTTGATGTTTTAATGTCATTTTTTTTCTTTGTTTTTCTTTTTTTAAAAACTTCATTAAACTTTATATGTACTTGTCTTTCTGAGGGCATCTTTATTTTTAAGACATTTAAGAGTTTTTGATACGCTGTAGTTACAAATTACAGGAATAAGCTAGTACTTAAATGTTTCTGTATCGTGTCACTAACATGCTGTGCATGATGTGTCACATATTTACACCAAGGGCATATAGATGTAGCTTTGGACAGTTGGGACATATCCCTATGCGAGTTGTGAATGCAATATAGTATTCTATGTTTGTATGTCTGTTTCGTGTTTTTATTCATAATGAAAATACTTTTTTCCCTTTACACATTTCATGAACTAGGTGTACTGTCAAGTTGTTCTGTGCAATCTCTGTGCACCTTCTTTGAGCACTGGACCACCATCATCACTTTCCGAGAGGTGTTTGTATATTTTCTCTGTTTCATTATTGTCACAAGTGGACAAATAATGGGCTAAAACAGCAGTAAAAAAAAAAGTAGTTTTTCTGAACTTTATATTTATGCCTTAATGTATTAATTGTTCAGTTGTAGTTCGCCAAATGAAAGTAAAGTCTGACATATGATTTTTTTTAGATTTATTTTTCGGCATTTTTGCCTTTATAGGACAGTATGTATTGACAGGAAACATGTGAGAGAGAAAGGGCACAGGATTGGGAAAGGACCGCGAGCCGGGACTCTAACTCGGGTCACCCACTGCTTCAGTGCAGTGTGTTCATCTTGAAATATTACTAACATTATATGTTATTTTTACATTTACTTTATAAAAATCATAGCAAAAGGTTTCACAAAAAGACGTGCACCACAACCCAAAGGGAATGCTTTTAGAATTATACTAAAAGGTCTTTTACTTTTTAAAAACTATTAAAGGGCAGAAGGCATGTAGTAGATTGCGTACAACAGGTTTTTCAGCCAATTTTTGATAATGTTGAAACATTTAGAGACATTAGAAATGCGTGCATCAAATATGATACAGTAGGCTTTACAGAGTTAGTGTGGCTGTGTGTCTCTGGTTCTAAACTGTGCACAATTACTTTTTTTTCAGTTTAGAAGTTAGTCACAACATTTATCCATGTTCCATCATGAGCACCAACTGAAAGCCATGACAACACAGAACATGCAAACTCAACACAGACAGCCCTCATTGGCTCAGTGCTGGCCTGAGAGAATAGTCAAGATGTTGACAAGATCATTTAATGAACTCAAATTTCAATAAGAAATGACAAAATTTAAATTATAAAATGAGAGATATACAATACCATCTATTTTAGGAAATCAAATTTCTTTATTTAAAAAAAAAAAAAATCTTACATTTCTGTATTCTATTGGGGCCTGTACCATGAAGACATATTAATTTGAACTAATCATCTGAGCACAGTGACATCTCTGATGGAGTCACACTTTAAAAATGTAGTGATTTGTGTTTAACTTTTAATGATATTTTTGTACTTTTTTGTACCTTGTACTCAGCATTTATATGCTGCTGTGTCTTGGCGTTAGTGTGACATCTATAATAATAATTCGATGAAGCTGTTTCGGCAACTTGCAATCAATCCATTGACCAAAAACCTGAATTTGTTCTTTGTGGTACAGTCCTGTGTTCTCAAACTTGCTTGCTGTTTTCTTTTCAGTGCTAGGATGAAATTTGTCAAAAAATAATTTTGGGTGACTGTCCATTTCTGTTTGGGTCAGATGGAAAATAACTGAATCTGAAAATCATATTCTGAAATAAATTTTCAGAATATGACAGATCAGTTCAGACAGATAAACCTTGACTTGTACACCTGAGAGTGTTTACTGTAGGACCGTACGCTTCAGCTGGGCTGTTAATCAGCAGGCTTACATTTGGCCTTTAATCCACAGGTTCATGCATTTAAAGACGAGACCCAGCAGATGGTCTTGAGAGGCACTCAGAAAACCATATGACAATGTACGGCGACAATATTTATGATGGATTTACAGGTTTAGATGTCAAGGCGCTTGCTGTGGTTCGAAGGATCTTTCGTATGGTGCTACAGACAGCTGTGCATGTTTATTTATTCAAATGTGCAGGGTAAACATCAGTTAAAATACAGAAAAAGATCAGAAAGACAATGTCTACATTTGTACAGATCATTTTAAAAGGCGATTATTTGACATCACACAGGAGGGCCACTCCTCTCAGGATCCAGTATTCTGGAGGGTGACTGGTTCTCAGGTCAACAGCTGCAATGTAGTTCAGGTCTGTTCGAACAGGCTTTTTATATATTGGACATGAGTACAAGCGAGGATCTTTGACACCTTAGGAAAGATACAGTTATATAGCAATTAGGTTTTGCATGCTTATACTAAAAGGACTATTAACTGAAAAGTTCAGAAAAAAAAAGTATAAAAGGCAAAATTCTTACTTGCAAATGTTAATCCATTGCATAGTTTAAATGAGTCCAAATCACATTAATTTAGGCTAAAATAACAACTCAACCCCCCGGAAATTAACATACAATGCCCTCCACAAATATCGGCACAATTGGTAGCCACGGGGGGAAAAATGTATTTGGTTTTTAGCATTTAATGTTACATTTAATAAAATGTAGCCTTTTATTAAAGTTAAATCACTAAAATAAAATAAAATAAAATAAAATAAAATTTCCCAACTATTGGCACCCCTCCAGTTAATACTCCCTTTGCAAACACTGAAAATTTCAACTAAAAGTGAAACTACCATGTCATTTATTTAAAGTGCATTCTTATATTGTCTTAAACTGGTTTTGTTTACTTTGTCTAAAAGCAAATGACACTCGCTGGGCTGCAGACATTATTTTAGTACATAACAGAAAATCTTTATTCATGTTTTACATAATTTACCTGAAGTTAAGAATCAGTCCTGGGTATTTATAAGATGACATCTCACACTGTGCATTCCTAAACCCTGATTTAAACTTATTTGCATATTGCAAAATAAATAAAGTATACTCTGTATGGAATATGGATATCCTCCTTTTAATCGGTGTGTTTTGTCCGTATCAACTGATAATTACAATCAGGTGCATAAAATCAAGCATTCGGTCACACAATAGCTGAATTTGTAGTAACATTCTAAGCATACACTACTGTTTCAGCCCAATATCGATAGCGGCTGCTTAGGTGTTAGTCTGCACTTGCCATAATATTGATTTTCTGACCTGAGTATCCAAGATCATTATTCAACCAGCTACTGTTTATTGAAGATTAATCAGTGTGACAGTCTTTGAACTAGACGCCTGGGTCCACAAAAGGTGCCAAAAGAACATACTTTTTTTTTTCTTCTTCTTCTTTTAGTTTTAATCTCTTCTTTGTCATGTATTTCTGCTGGAACATCAGAAGGCTATCTGTCTGTCTGCTTTAAATGACATTTTGTTGTTATGTTCCTTTATTTAAAGGGGTCATATGATGCGATTAAAATTTTTCCTTTCTCTTTGGATTGTTACAAGCTCTTGGTGCATAAAGAAGATCTGTAAAGTTGCAAAGACTAAAGTCTCAAATCCAAAGAGATATTCTTTAAAAATTTAAGAGTCAGCCACACCTACCTAAAACGGCTCGTTCTAACACGCCCCCACATACCTACGTCACGGCCCCTTCCAGGTAGAGGCCATAAACATATACACCCTCTGCAGGAGGCTGCGTGATGTCATCCTTCATCCATTTTGTAACTTCATTACACAGAACCATACGGTCCAACGCCCACCCCTTGTTAGCACGAGTGATCTCCTGTCAAGTTAAATGATTAACATGTAGTGCTTGTAACTTATTATTAAATCACTCAAAATAAATGAAAAATCTCATGTCAATCTACAGACAAATAATATAGTATAATAGATATTTAAAACTGAATAAGATAAAATGAATATTAAAATATATAATCAGTAATTCAATATATTTTGCACAAAACTTCTCATTGTTTTAATGCTCAAACCAAATTAAATTTTCCTTCTTGCCCCTCAGTTAAAGGAATAAACCGATCTGTGTTGAAAAAAAAACAAGCATTTTTAGCTGAGACTGATATGAAGCATCTGGGTTCTTTCCCTAAGTTTATTCTCAAAGCTGCAGGTGTTGGCACAGAAACACAGCTGAGAACAGAAAACAGGACGGGTGCCCAATATTAATTAAAAGAATCCTGTTTTGCGCAAGCTGTTTACCCCCAAGGCATTAGCTAGAACGTGTCCCACTGAGCAGATCCCTCACAGCCCGAAAGACCTCTAAACTCACTATTACTGATTCCTTTAGGGATAGCATGAATATAGAGACTAATCTGCCACTCAAAAAGTATTTTTAGGAAAGATTTATCCCAGATGTTTGGCATAATATATCATATTTGGTGTAAAACATAAAAAAACAGGATGCATCAATATCCATTTTAACCCTGGAAAGCCTGACATATGAAATAACAGTTTTTATTCAGAGGTTCAAATTGAGCATAAATATGCACCAAATTTGGTGCAGTTGCTGTAATTTATATAACCAGAAAGTAAGACGAAATTCTAATAACTTTCTAATCTGTCTTTCTATCTCCAAATAACATGTCTTAAAATGACATTTGAATGCTGAGTTTTATGACCAAAGCTCTGTAGTTTTTATTGTGGGGGCAAAACATATAATGTAATGCAATGCAATGTTGAGAGAATGATTGAGAGACAAATAAATCTTCCACAAAAGCCTGATGTTATCATACAGCATTTGATACGTACATTTTAACATGATTTTCTAAAAAATAAACTATGGATATTTAAGTAAACCTAAGCTGCTTCAGACTGGTAAGTGTTTATCTTGAAATTCAAAAATATAAAAGTTATTCTTATATTTTCTTTATAAAAGTCATAAAAGATTTCACAGCAAAAACACAAATGTCCCATTTTGTAACGTTTATAAGTCTTTTACTTGAAAAAAAGAATACGATACAGCAAGCTTCACAGGGTTAAAAACTACCTCACAAAGGACAAAATTCAAATGTCTTTTGTGGTAAGGGAAACATATCTGATCAGCTCAAGACATCAGGAGGGGAACAAGTACAAGTGTAAGTTTAGCAGAAGTGTTTGTGTGATAGATATCCACCTTTCTCATAGCTGTCAGGAACCCCTGTGGGTTGAAGAAGCCTGTCATCCAAAAGCAGTTGGGTCGTCCCTCAAAAATCCAAGAGTGGAACTGCTGGTTCCGCTCCAGCAACTCTGTGAACCAAAACCCCAACGTGTTGGAAGCCCAGGAGGCCTGCATACAGACACATGCACACACACATAGAAAGTCACATAAGCGGAACCACAGTTAACACATACAAAGAAAAGATAGAGTAATAGACACAAGACAGGGTTTTCATTCGGCTTTGGGCTATCAAGAATAAAAACTAGTAAAAACCACCATAAAAATGATATCAAACAGCTCATTGTGTGAGAAACACGTAAACAAATAAGTCTCCAATCGCATTTGCACTTATTCCATAAATTAGCATGTTACATTCATTGATAAGCTATACAAAAAGCAATTGGTTGGTTATAAGGGTGACATTTAGGAGATTTACTAACAGCCAGCGCAAACCCTCTTCTGGCGTTAAAAAAAAAACTACTGTCGGGATTTACTAAAGACACGCAGTGAAAAATCAGTGATGAAAATTACTTCATTGCATATGCATTTGTAAGAGGTTTCCCTTTCAGACACAAAATTCATGGGAGAAAAGTATTTAAATGAACCATGTAAGGTGATTTACTACGTTTGTGGTAGTCAGTTTACTAGTATTTTCACCATTATTTAACGCCACAAAGAAGCATGTCTAAACCAATTTTGCACCTGTGTTATTAGCAGATTTCCTGCACCTGATTACCTTTGGCCCCACACTAATTTGTGCTGCTCTTGGTAGATTGTAATGGTTATTATGGAAATGAGCTGGCGCATCTGTGGTCTTTAATTTGCACATTGCCAGCAGATCCCCCACAGAACTTTCTACTCCCATCGACGCTTCGACACTACTGTTTTATTTCCTATTTGGATTTATGTATATGCTTAATTTTTTTAAGATTAACTGTTAGATGCCAGTGTTTCCTGTCATAACTATATAAATATTTGATTTCAAAAACAGTATCATAGCTACTATATTTATTGTTACCATTTTAAATCTGTATTTAACCTCAGAATCATCTCAGTGTAAGAAGAGGTGCTGGCAGCTGTGCATTAAATTATATTATTATAATCTTAATTCAAGTGATGAAAGTCTGACAGTAATCAGTGTTGAGTACTACTGTAAGGTTAACCCTGATTAACGTTTGATTAACGGTTGAAAACATTTGTTATAAATTTAGAAAAGTAATCAAAAGTTAATCAACCATTCAAACGTTTTCATTACCAAATGTTTGCAGTTCCTGCCTGTGAAGCACATTATTTCTTTGCACTTTTAAAAGTATGGAACAAAGTGTAATCAGCAAATAAAAAAATAAATAAAAAAAAACACATATCTTACCATTGTTCTCTGCATACATCCTGACCACAGGCATCATCTCGAACAGTACTTTGGGTTTTGAATCAATGAGCTTGCAGTTCCTGCGGTCCCAGCCGGCCCCTTCCAGGTAGAGGCCATAAACATATACACCCTCTGCAGGAGGCTGCGTGATGTCATCCTTCATCCATTTTGTAACTTCATTACACAGAACCATACGGTCCAACGCCCACCCCTTGTTAGCACGAGTGATCTCCTGTCATTAACGTTTGATTAACGGTTGAAAACATTTGTTATAAATTTAGAAAAGTAATCAAAAGTTAATCAAATGTAATCAGTTGCATTACTTTAATAAAGTAATTGAAATAGTTACACTCATGCAAATATGTTTTTACAGACGTCCCCGTCAGAAACCATTATTATCCAAATAGGGCTAAAGAGACCAAAGATACCTTTTGGATAGGCCTACACTAAGTGAAAGTACAAAACAGCCTAATAAGGTATTTACTGTATGCACAAACAAATGCAACAGACACTTAAGTTACAGCCTGATTGTTATTCAGAAGGCAGTATTTTCAATTAGCTTATGATTAGCTCAGCTTGAGTAGTATATGAAAAGCAGAGTTAAATGAAGCTGTTGTGCTGCTTGGCTGTAGTTCATGTGAGGAGTTATATAAACCCGTTTGCTAAGCTTGAGCCCAGAACCTGAGGGTTTGATAAACAGATATAATTTATAAAACATATATAAATGGCTCTAAAATGTTAAGTTCAAAGCAAACGGTATATATGCACACATGACTGCACATACAATATGCCAATAAAAAAAATAAAAAATTTGTATTATTATGGGCAAGCCATTATATTGAACTTCCTCACATTTTATGGGCCTTATGAAATCCATTTTATTTTTTCAAAATTTTCTGCATTTTTTTATGAATTCTATTTTTAATGCTTTAATTACATTTTAGTAATGAAAACAGATGTCTAATCAACTGATGTTTTATAAAACTTGTTTATAAAACAATGTAATTTGTAACTTTAATGTGCAGGCAGTAACAAGTGAAGCATTCATGTTTTTAGTGTGTACATTATATGTCCTACACATTTCACACATCCCAAAGGCAGGCAACAACCTCTAACCTTTTTCCAGCGTGCAGGTATTCGGGAGTCGTACATGCAGTCCAGCGCGTCTCGCAGGTTCTCACTCATAATGATGGTTCCATCAATGGCCAGCTTCAGGTCACTCAGCGTGTTCCTGACCAGAACAATCACTCTCTGCATGCAATCAATCTCCTGCCGCAGGAAAATGTTCATGGGCTGAAGAGGACCCATGCTTATCAATCTCTCTCTGACCTGGATAAATGACACAATTTGAATGAATAACGAAGTATGTTGTTTTGTACAAGTGCTCAGCCCTAAGAACATTTGCTAAGACTGTATTGCATTGCATAGCATTGTTTAAGCGATATGCATTATTTTAGAATCTGGTTCAGTGAAGGTATTATTTATTATTAATCTGCTAAAGGAGACAATAACAAATATTAGTACTGATGCAATTTGCATGGGTGCAGTTCCCCAGTTTGTTTCCTAGCTTTTTGAGGATGCAACAGACTACTAAAATCTGGCATATTTTATTATCATTATACTTTATTATTCACTACCATGATCTAGCACCTGAAACAGTTCTTTTAAATATCAAAATTGCTTGTTTATACAGTATGTCTGAAGTTGTTTTTCTGCTGCCATGATCAGTAGAAAATGTACACAAACACTTCAGAATTCAGTTGACTGTCAGGTTTCAGAGGTCACTGCAGAGAACACACTGTTTTATTTACATGTAGCAACTAATTTTTTCCATCACTGAGTTTTAAATATTTTAGGAACACTCATGATTGAGACAGATCTGCTTCTCGCCGTTGTGAGAGATAATGAAGGCAAAAAGCCCTCGTGCACCCGAAGGCACATTTTTTCCTGCTGCCTTGTTAATTTGCAGATAATCAGAAGGGAGTAGCAGCCAATTACTGCCTATATGTTTCATAAGCACCTGCAGTTCAGTGTGAGAACATTTGTGAGCCTCAAAAAAGAAAAAGGCATCAGTGCAGGCAGTCTGTGACCTCAGCACTATCCGTCAACCCTGAGAATGTCCCCTTAGGACTCGAGCCAGACAGCAAAGGCCATTTGCTCCCATTGGGCCCATTGTATCAACCATACAAAATTTTGCTGCATCATTGTTGCCCAGTGTGAAGCGTTACCTCAGATGGTACAAAATCTGGAGGCAGTTTCTCCAGCATGTCATCTGCTAGCCGACCCACAATCGCCTCCCTGGTCTCTCCGCCTCCGCTGGAGCTGTCCTTTGGTTGGATGTTCAGGATAGTGTCTAGTACGTCCTTGGCGAGTTTGCTTTGGTAGGTGATGTCTGCATTTGGGTGGAGGCCGAACACCTCAGGGGTGTCATATGTGGGGAGACCCTGCAGGAGAGAAAAAAAAAAACAGATCAACTATCTATCTATCTATCTATCTATCTATATATCTATCATTTAGAAGGCTCAAAAGTATATACAATGTAATTGCATGAATCCTTCTAATCCCCCATTTAATCCACTGTCTAATGTCTGCTGCAGCAACTTCCCTCATTCATGCATCTTTTGTCATTAATCTGCAAACCCTTCACACATTTTGAATGAGCATTCTTTAATTGTACCAATAAAGCAAATGTGCTAAATACACAATAACCAGGATTTGAATTTATCATCAGTAAATCCAATTTATTTAAATCACATTAACTAACTGAATCTTTCTTGTTCCAAAGCTAGCCATATTTAAACAATGTTAAAATTGTTAAATAATATAACATAAAATAGATGCAAATAATTAATAAACTATGCTTGCATGATTAATTTTTTTGAGTGCATTAAGGTCTATAATTGGATTCTAAATTAAAATATTCTTGCAATCTTGCAATCAATTTTCACATGATATCAACAACCATTATAAGAGCTTACTCTCATTAGCTACAAAAGCTAAAGCATCTTGCATGATTTTGATAAATGGATGCATGTTTTCCCACATCTCTCTTCCTTTTTGAAGAGCAATCCTGATTAAAGTTGTTTATTAGTTGATTAATTAATGCATTCAGCATTGTGTACCAGCTATAAAAGTCGTCTCGCATTATACATTCATTCATCATAATTTCCATTCGACACAAAGCTTTCAGTAGACAACATGTGCTTAGAGAGATGCATAGCTGAATGAAAGCTAGCGTAACATGTCTTTTTTTTTTCTTCTTTTTTTAAGCAAAATGTCTTGCATGTTTCTCAAGGAGCTTTTGTATGTGGTTTCATTCACTAATGGTGATAACAGCATTGTGTGTTACACACTGAACAATGTTTTGGCGTGTATGCAGTGACTGCACGGACTGGCTCCTGGAACCGTGTTTGTCATTGAGTCTGAGAGAATCATCCTGCTGTGAGTTGGGGCTAAAAACATCCATCACAATCAGCTCAGACAGAATAAAGATCAGCCGTACTCTGCCGGCAGCTGTGCTATTTCTCTCACGAGGACACCACTGCTTTACATGACTCACTGCTTTTAATGTACAACTGGAATAAGGCCAGTGGGCTGACTGGGCTGAGGCTGGTTATGTTCCTCTTGGCACCTGAATAACTATTATGAGGATTGTATATATTGTAACAACGCACCGTTGTTCTATTGAACGTGGGGCTGACCAGAGCTAAGCTAGGCTATTAAACTTTTGCTAAGTTAATTGCTAACAGGTTGCTAGCATCTATACGCGAGACTTCTACTATGGTTAGTGGAAAGTGCGAACACTCGCGTCCCATACACCGCACGACCATGAGTGTCTTGGTGAGCAGAAGCACAGACAGAATAAATCAGCAGGAGGCAATACTGTCATCTTTCTCCTTTTATTCTGAATACAGAATCAGATCTCCACAAGCAAGGCCATATCGCCAAGTCCCTCCCCGACACATCTCTCTCCATGACGGTAACATCCACACTTTTTATAACAAGGCAGTAAATGAACCAAACCCACCCGAACTAACTTAAACATAAACAGACATAACATTTCTAACACAAAAACCCAACCATCTTGCTTAACTAACACGTAATTCCACTCTAAACGAATACCCATAATGCACCTGGCTGCTAGCGCTCACTGCCGGGTCATTACAATATATACAGTGTATATATATATATATATATTTTATTTATTTATTTATTTTTTCATTGCTGATGAATCTGCTTTATTCACACATATACAAACATACTGATTACATTACAGTTGACAAAAGATGGGCCTTTTTTATACTGGAAGTATAAAGACATATTTTTTGTCAGACTTCTCTTTTGGCACTTTCTGTTAGCATATACAAACTGTGCCAGATGCGACTTGGGTCATGAATATTAATTACTTTGTTCGCACCAACTCATTTGCTAAAAGAGGGCTGTTGGTAGACCTGTACAGTGGTATTACCATTTACTGTCTGCTCTTGTTAAACCCATTGCTAACATGATTGTCAGAGACTTCTGATTGAGAAAAAAACAAGAACTTGCACTGAAGTTGAAACGAACCCTTGATTTAGATTTAGATGTAGATGAAGACACTTAAATTTACAGTTTATGATTGCAAATGTAATATACAATACAGCTTATACACTTCTATGGCAAGGTACTTTGCATTATGCAAAGCGGTTGCCTAATTTATGTCTAGAAGATGTACAGGGAATTTGTTTCTACTTGGAGCAGTTTATTTATTTATTTATTTAAGTATTGGTACTCAGTATTGGCTGATTTTATTGCAAATGTTTACTGGTGCCAATCTGTTGTGAATCCGACTAGCCAACAGCCCACAGTGTTGTAATACACCACCACTGTCTATCTGCCAACACACTGTCTCACCTCAATCTCTCACCTCTTTCTAGTGACAAAATCTGTATAACAAATAGTACTGACTCCAAAGGGACACAGTTTCATTGGAACCTTGTATCTCACCTGCACATATTGGAGGTACTGGTCCACGCTATTGCATCTGGGAATACTGTAGCCTTTGTAGAAGTTGAAATCAGGGCTGAACATGTTCTCATTGAACCACACCTTTGCAAAGGTGTTCAAGAGGCGCTTGTCATAGTCATCAGTCACCCTACCACCATACTGGATCTCGCCGATCATGTATTGTACGGTGTTCCAGGACACACCCTGTAAAAAAAACTCATTCAAATTAAAATGCCAGGTGCTAAGTCTATTTGGAAACTTTTTGCATAGACCCTTGACAAAGTTGACAGATTAAATCATATACTTTTGTTTCATACAATTTATGTAATAGCATTTGCCTACAGAGGTGGAAAAAGCTGATATGTTCATGTCATACTTCAATACTAAAGCAAAAGAAGGACATTTGACTAAAATCCACATAATTCATAATGAACTCCAAGTTCCCTTTCAGTCGGTCACTTTCGATGTCATGTCGGTAATGACCGACGAATTGGGATCTCGCTTAAAGAGACCAATCCACTTCGAGTGTAAACTAAACGAGCCAATGCACATTGGCATGCGATGATTGCATCCAGCTGCAGCTGATCGCAGCGTGAGTATAACTAGGCAGCAGGTGCAATGCATACTCAGCTTTTCGCTTGGAGTCAAGCGGTAATATCATTCTGCTTCTGACTTTTTCTGCTTGAGGAAGACTGAATGAGTTCAGCGCGCTCTTTGAAGAGCTCTGGTGTTGGCGGTATGGCGCTTCAGTGGCGGTGGTTTCCTGTGTCGAGTGGATTGCACACATCAGGCTGCACTACCCCCTGTTTGTGTTGCAAGCGGCCGTCTCCCCTGTGCGCTTCAGCACATTAAAAGAGCAACTTCTAAAAGAAAATTCACAGGTGGACATCTTTTTAAAGACGACGTTGCGTCTGTACCACTCGAAGCTGAGACTTTGTAAAGACAACGTTGGGTCTGGGTATAGATGCCGTTCCAACCGTGCGTTTCTGGATGTGGTCATTATCTGGCGCCAGGTGATGTAACGATCGCTGCCTCACGTGTCAAGCACGCTGAGGCAGCATTTGTGGATGAGTCATGCTCTCATTGCGGGAGGATGACCGTCGCAGATTTGCGGACCAGGCTCTGTTTCCTGCAAAGGGGTGGAGTACCCGTGTCTCTGCCTAGATCTAGTGTTCCCCCTGGCAAAAGCCGGGGGGTGCTACTTCTGGCAGTTGTCGGACTGGTCTTACGGTGATGGTGAGGAATTACCCTCCGAGGAACCAACCTCCGAGGGCTCCTTCTTCCACCGGTACTTCGCAGCCAGTGGAGCTGCGCAAGCAACGGGCTGGACCCTCCCATGGGGTACCACTTGTATCCTTCGGCGCTCCCCCCGACGATCGGATGATGATCGCTGCAACGGAGGGTGAGTCAGACTCTGCTGTAGATGATGATGCCGAATTCGGATCCGGAGATGATGGCTATGCTTGCCCGGGCTGCCGAGAGGGTTGGGCTCGAATGGAAGCCTCCACCACGTCTCGAACCCTCGAGGCTGGATGATTGGTTTCTCGGGGTGGCACGCGCTGGTTCTCAGGGCCCCCCCCGGTGCTTTCTTTCCTGAGGTGCATGATGAGTTCACTGGATCATGGATGGCACCTTTCACTGCCAGAAACCGTTCCAGTGGCTCATCCTCCCTCACCACCCTTGATGGTGGGGCAGCGCGGTCGGTTGCGATGCAATTGTGTCCAACTACCGCTGCCACCTGGTGGGGAAAGCCATCGCTCCCCTCCCGGGCCTGTAGGCACTCATTGGCCCTGATCGGCAGTGCCTATGCGGCGGCTTGTGGGGAAGCTGCTTCTGCCTTACACGCCATGGCGTTGTTGCAGGTTCATCAGGCCAAGGCACTGAAGGACCTGCACGAGGGTGGACATGACCCAGAAGTTCTCAGAGAACTTCGCACCACTTACTGACCTTGCGCTATGTGCGACGAAGGTCACTGCGCGGTCTTTGGGCAGTGCGATGTCCACTATGGTGGTCCAGGAGCGCCATCTCTGGCTGTGTCTGGCCGACATGAGGGAGACCGACAAGTCTCGGGTTCCTAAACGCCCCTGTGTCCCAGACCAGCCTTTTCGGCGACGCGGTGGAGAATTTCACCCAGCAGTTCTCCACTGCACAGAAGCAGATCGAGGCCATCAAGCACATCCTGCAGCTGCTGCCTCCACCAGGCCGCCGGCGGCAGTGCCTCAGTCTGCTCATCGCTCAGGGCGGCCCCCTGCCGCCGTCCCAGCTTCTGCGCAGCAAACGCAGCAGCCTCCAGCAAAGCAGCACCATGGAGCCGGTCGCAGGGCAGTAACCCCGCCCGTCAAGGTCCCCACCAAACCCGGCGGCAAGTGGAGGAGCAAGAGGCCCTGAGACGGGCGACCCAGAGATGGAGAAGTCTGCTCTTCGGGAGATGGTGAACGCACCACTCCCTCCCCTGGAGGAGGGCCGGATGGAGAATCTTTTGTTTCAATTTTTTCACCACTGACTTCACGGTCAGTGGTACCCAAAACCTCGACAAAAGAGCAGTTTCCTCTATCTCTGGGTCCCCAGATGGGATGGGGAGTTGTGGCAATCCCGGATCACACTCGCCAGTGAGCAGCAGTGGGTGGTTCGAGAGTGCTGTAAAATGTACTACTCATGCACCCTCTGCCCGAATGCAGGTAGGTGTTGCACACACTCAGACCCTGCTTCGGACCTGCTACGAGACGCCCAGGCCGGGTCCCTGCCTTCCTCTTCGCTGCCCTACTGCGGGTACGTCAGTGGTTCCGTTGGTGCCACTTGTGCGGTATCTGGGGGCCTGGCTAGATCTCCCCAGTCCATTTCGCTGGCTCCTGCAGACCATCAGACTCGGCTATGAGATTCAGTTCGTCCGGCGTCCCCCCAAGTTCAGGGGTGTCCACTTCACTTCCGTGAGGGTTGCAGATGCCCGTCTTGCGTGCAGAAATCGCAGTCCTACTGGTGAAGGATGCGATAGAGCCGGTCCCTCCAGCCGATATGAAGACGGGGCTATACAGCCCTTACTTCATTGTACCCAAGAAAGGCGGTGGGTTACGACCGATCTTGGATCTGCATGTCTTGAACTGGGCCCTTCACTAGCTACCATTTCAAGATGCTCACGCAGAAACGCATCTTCAAGCGAATCCGTCCCCGAGATTGGTTTGCAGCAATCGACCTGAAGGACGTGTACTTTCATGTTTTGATCCTTCCGCGCCACAGACCATTTCTGCGGTTCACGTTCGAAGGATGGGCATATCAGTACAAGGTCCTGCCCTTCGGGCTGTCCCTGTCTCCCCGTGTCTTTACGAAAGTCACGGAGGCAGCTCTTGTTCCCCTCAGAGAGCAGGGTGTTCGCGTTCTCAACTATCTAGACGATTGGCTTATACTAGCAC